GAAAACACTCGTCCATTTCGAACTGAGTTGACGTTACGATGAAGCAGTCATCAATATATCTGCAGTACATCAAAGGATGTCGTTCTAGAACCGGCTCTTCAATTCTTCCCATAAAGCATACAGCAAGAACCGGTGCCAACCGTTGTCCCATAGCAAGGCCTCTCACTTGAGAAAAGTACTTTCCTGCCCATTTGAAGATGTTACAGCTCAAGCATTCCTTGACCAACGTCATTATATGTGTTTTGCTAAGTCCAAAGGTGTTGATGTTATTAGCATGCCTATCAAGCATTTCAGATAGTGCTTGTAGTGCCTGCTCGTTTTGGACATTAGTGTAAAGCGAAACTACATCAAATGACTCAACTACATTGCTCCGACCGAGGTCTGAGCTATGTAGTAGCTCAAGGAAATGCTTGGTATTGGACAGGTGAGACGGAACCATGGTCAACAGCTGGCTTACAATATTACTGAGAAACCACGAGATCCTGTCAGTTGGTCCCCCTACACAACTTTTTGACGGTAAATTATATAGAGCTACCCGTTTTCTCTGGGTAATGCCTAGCCTTAGGGTAACATCATACCAATATCAACATCACCCTATAGTAAGAGTAAGTTCCAGAATACATGCAGGGGCTAGTCAATGTAACAGTCCAGGCTTTTATTTTCCCAAGCAAGACTACCTAAAATTATCTTATTGTGGAGGAATGGACGGCTTGTTTGGCTTAGTGCGAGCATCTACTCCGGGTTCGATTAGCGGAACATGCAGGTATGACAGTGCGCCACTTCCCTCTATAATACCATCGCCAATGAATTTCCTTCATGTGTTATGTCATATTTATGTGCATGTTTCCCCTCAAAATAACTTGCCCTATTGAGATGAAATACATTATTTTGATCGCTCTCTTCGGCTGTTGTCTGGCCATGCGCCAACAATCGGTTGCCATCACTGGAAAGCTGATGTGTGGATCCCACCCGGCCTCTGGAGTTAGGGTGAAACTGTGGGAAGAGGACGACGGTGAGTAGGTTACAAACAACACGTGTACAGAGATCGATTTCGAATGTTGCTGTAAACTTCAGTTGCCTCCAGCTTTCCCCTTACAGCTTTCCCCTTACATTCTATATTTCAGGCCCGGATCCTGACGACCTCCTCGACGAAGGCTACACAAATAACCAAGGTCTCTTCACTCTCAAGGTAAGAAAGATAGCTTTTTGGAAAGTTTTCCACTGCTAAAGCTCATTCCACGGAATAAATTAGCTGGTTTGTTGTAGGGGACCGAGCGAGAACTGACCACCATTGACCCAGTCTTCAAGGTATACCATGATTGTGATGACGGAATTAAGGTATTTAGCAATGTTTCTGTATAATGATCACGGACCATGAGTAAGCTGTACATTTCAGCCTGGCAAACGAAAGGTGAAGTTCCGCATCCCTAAATCCTACATTACCAATGGACCTGTTGCCAGACGTACGTTCGACATCGGAGTACTGAACCTGGAAACCATTTTCGCTAAGGAAGAGCGTGATCTACTGTAACTTCATCAACATTTCAAGTTCATTCTAGGAATTCCACTTTGTTTGAGGTAATCTTTGCAATTTTTACGGATACATTAATAAAGTTTTATTCAGTAGTTTGCAATTATTCTGTGAACACGATTCACCATAATCAAGGCTTCTCTTCCAACTCTCGAGGCCAAAAAGTGAGCTCCTCATAAGACGATCTTGTTAATTTACAAGAAGGCTTACAGTCTCCTATACCTTGAAGAAAGCAGATGCAGTAGTACCGTAATATGCAGTCAAGGCACATCGCAAAAATTGACTTCTTTATCGCGAAACTCGCGAAATATTGACTTTCCTGATTCATTCTTTCTCTTTCAATCTTATGTTCTAATACTCAAGCGATTGAATAAAACAGACGTGATCAGTCTGTCCCCATTCAATCACCCACACGGTAATCTATCTGTCTGACAAACTACGAACGAACTACGAACCAGAGTGAGAAGGTGAGCCGGGAGCGTTTGAAAATACCTAGGGCATACAGCATAGGCGAATAATGCTTTAATACCATCCACTTCATCGACTGCTCTGATGATCTTAAGCTCCCTCAGGATATGACAAACCGCTTCAGTAGTTCAGTACCGGACCTGGGAAGAGCTTGCTTCTTCTACTTCGACGAAAACTAATGGGAAAGTTTTCTGAACTACTAAAAGATTGTCAAAAGCGGGTTCCAATAAAACTCTTTGTAGAAGATTTTTTTCAATTAGAAATACTTAACAGTTAGGGTTTTGGACTCACGCAGTAGGTTCTGTAGGAGTAATCAAATGACTTCAATAGCATAGGTTCTCATATTGGAGAAATCTGAATTATGGCTTCATTATTCAGTAGGATAATGCTTCGATATGCAAATTTACAAATGAAGATTTATTAGCTTATGTGCCAACTCTTCAACAACTGATTCCACACCAACAAAACCAATATATTCGGAGAAATCAGAGAAGATCGCGTTCTTCCTCTGGGAAAATAGTTTCCAAGTTGAGCACTCCGATATCGAATGTACGTCTGGCAATAGGTCCATTCGAGATGTAAGATGATGGAATGCGGAACTTCACCTTTCGTTTTCCAGGCTAAAATGTAAGGTATTACCGAGATATTGTGATAGTAGCGTAGATATAACTATTGAAATACCTTGACTCCATCATCACAGTCGTGGTAGACCTTGAAGACGGGGTTGATGGTAGTTAGTTCACGCTCCGTTCCCTGCAATAAGACTTATGTATACTAGCAATGGTGGAATAAACTCTGCCGAAGACATGCACACAAGCAATTCTGAAAGGACCACATCTGCTTCCTACCTTCAGATTGAAAGTGCCCTGGCCGCTCGTGTAGCCTTGGTCAAGGAGGTCATCGGGATCAGGACCTGAAGTATAACGAGTAGTGGAAGGAGTGATATGAGGTGTCTGAAGGGTGCAGCATCAATAATTACGAAAGAGCACCTATCTGGATGGTGTTTGTTCCTTACCGTCGTCTTCTTCCCAGAGCTTCACTTTAACTCCAGACGCTGGTCTGTTTCCACACATAAGCTTTCCAGTAACAGCAACTGATTGTTGACGCATGGCTATACAGTAGCCAAAGAGGGCGATCAAAATTATGAGCTGCATCTGGAACGAGTCGTCAGCTTAACTTCCTAGTATTTTCAGTAGAAGAAGGACAACAATGTCTGAGACAATTATATGGCTCTAGACATCACCCTATACCCGATATGGGGCTGGCAATGGGGACGCGAAATAAAAATATCGACTTCGTTCCCTCTGCTTTATCTTTATTAGGGCGACTACTTCGAAGCATACATGTCGCTCAGTAAGGAAAGCTCAGGTAAGTGAAGCTCAGTCCAACATTATGTGGTCTATTCCATTTTTCGTCTCAGCCTGGCTATGCTATCGAGCAGGTATTCCATGAGAGCTTCCACAAAACGGTAGTCCATAGGTGGTGACTCACAATCTACTGAATCCTCTTATTGCTAGATTTGCTCAGTCAATTCGAAAGGACTTTGATATCTTTTATTTTTTGCATAGCTTTCGGCCCTTGTGTATTAGACAGACCGTGGATTACAATAATTCATTGAGAAAGCAATAAACGTATTCGATTGATTCGACCATTTGGCTGAGACAGAGGAGAGTCCATTAGGTTGCCATGAATTGAATTGAGAAATTTACAGGCTTCTAACTTCAAGGTACAGGAATTTTAAGATTCAACACGGGCGGTAGAATCCTAATAGCTCCTTTCTGGCTATTTCATCTTATGATTGAAACGGTGTGCATGTTTCACGTGGACTGCAGCTTTTCTCTTTGAAGCCGTATAAATCTTCGAACTCATCAAGATAGCTGGGACTTCATGCCTGTGGTGTCAGTATAACTTTTAATTGAAAACATGCAAAGGGAGTTTCAAAAGAGTTGGACATTGGTAAAGTTGCCATGCGACAAAATGAAGTCATGAACATTAACGTCGTCCAAAGAGCAGCAAAAGTGGGGAGGGAGTCGGTTCTGTATGCCTGCTAAACTACATTGCAGCAGGGCTGCTGAAATTTCGTAGGCTGTGGGTGTTGCTCAGTGGGTGAAATTGGTTCGGTTGCATTACAACAGTAATAGTGTAAAACTAATCCATTAAGAAAAAGTTTGAGCGGAGGTGGTAGAGTGGCAAGTGGCGCACAAGCACATGTATGATTCGGGGTTGCAATCTCTGATCGTTACTGGTCTAGGCAAGTGAGCCTTCCACCTCTTCAGGTTGATTAATTTGTATCAGCCTCCTTTGGGAGGATACGTCTGGCCACTGACTTGTACATCGGCTGGCCATTGTATAGGTCACATATGCACTAATACGCAATTACGATTCTGAATGGAAGTCGAATGAGGAGTGCATACCCACAGCAATCAACCGACTCCGGGGGAATGGCAGGCTTGGTTGGTCTTGCTTGCATCAAATCGCATTCTACCCAAAACCATCCGCGGGTTATAGCTAGCCACTTGCCACTACGCCACATCTGCACTCCGTTTGAGATATGTATTTTGATAAGTATTGTCCGTTATGCTGCTCAGGTCACTTCAACGTTTCTTAAACTATTACTATAACTGGTCGAAAAGAGCCCATTTTTGAAGATGCTGACTAGAAGTCATTCACGGTTCTATGAGTTATTCACTCTGCATCATCAGTGGATTGCCAGGTAGGGTAATCATCATGTTGAGCACTTAGCGATAGAGTTCTTTTCGACCCAGTTTTGTAGAAAATTCGACAGCGTAGGACTTTATCGATGCTGGTTTCGGAAAGATCTCATAAAATTTCTACTAGTTCGAGTAGAGAATTCTGTTCATAAATGGTCACCTTCGACGCCATAAGAGCAATACAATAAGTGGGCAAAGAATTGAAGTCGTCAGTTCTGAATCTAGCTGTAATGTTTCGGAATTTATGCATGCGTATAGGCTGATCCTCAGCAAGGTGCAGCGATTACATAAACTCTTTGCTGCCATTACGTTTCAAGACGAAATGTCTTTTTGGCACCAACACGTTATCATTACATAGCATCGCAGTAGGCATGGCATGCTAACATGCATGAACGCTATGATACCTCAAACTCACGAATATCACTATTGTGATTCTTGTAAAAGTGACAGTTCTTAGGTTCGTGAAGATTTATTGTCTTTATTACTGGGGCGGAATGCACAGTGCTTCCTCGCTGTCGCACTTGCATTTGTCGCAGTTGCAGTCCTTATCCTCTTTGCACGGTTCACCAATCTCATAAATTAGAGCTCCAAGGTAGTTTCCTCTGAAAATCGGCTGTTAAATGGAATTATATAAAAATTTTGCACTGCAAAAACACGCTTACGCTGGAGCATATTCGCATCCCACTAATGTCATGTCTTTACACCATACAACTGCGCAACCAACATTCTTGCTCCGCTGCCAGACTACCTAGAAGGCGCATACAT